TTTGAGAAACAAACTTATGGAGGATGCTATACTTGTATGTACCAGTGAACACAACAATTTTTGTTAATTATTCTACTTCAGATTAAGATTTTTGCTCTCTCTTCAAGTGGAATTGCTATGTGTAGTATATTTAGGTTGTTAAACCCTTTATAGCTGCTGCATATTGTATTAGTCCCTGATTTTTAGTTTTTCTATTCTATGAAGTGACTGCCTGGTGCCCAGTTAATTACAGTTTTACATGTCCTGGTAGATGTGACATCTGCATTGATCTTTGCCATGTCCCCTTTGATTTCATTTTTATATTTTAACAAGGTCATTATGTTTAACTCATACAGATATAAATTTAAGCATTTCTTTTTCTCATAGATAAAAAGTATTTTCTAAGCACTGGAGTTTTTCATTAGATCTTATACAGAGCAGTATTTTACTAAGAATCCAAAAGGGAAGACTTTTATGTGCGCATTTTTGTAGTTTCTGATTTTTTTAAAATAACTTTTCATTGTTTATCTGCCAAGTGAAATGTTTTAAATTTGCATATAAATGGATACAGAATGTATTTTTTGTGCTGTTTAGTGTTAAGTGTGCATTTGCAGATTTTTAGCATGTAGTTGCACAAAAACTGTGCAAAGATATTTTGGAATATGAATATATGCTACACTGAAGGAAAAACATTCATAAAACTTAAATGCTATATAGAACTCTAATGCAATAGAGTAATTTTATAAACTGTGTCTGTGTCTGCTTGGATTAAATATTGAAACAAGAAACATTACCTATTTTCACTGTTTTATTTCCAAATACTACATGGGAACTTGTGTATGCTCCAGCCCAGAAGTTTGCTCTATGAATTAAGTCTCATGAAACTCAGTTTCTGTGATTCTCAGAAGCAGGACCTGCTCTCCTGACTGTTTCTTGATGGCTTTCAGCTGTAACTGACATCAAAATACAGAGTTTTTTTCAGAAGGCTATTGGTCACCTTGCAATTAAAAGCATTTAACATGATACTGATCTTCCAAAATTTTTTTGGCCTTGTCGCCAATTAGATTAAAAAAACCTCAACCCCATATTTTCCAGTAAGCTCAGTCATAGGGATTGCTAACAAGGTGGAGAACCAGCTGGTGGCTGAGAAGCAGAATGTTAATGTCTTTCTTACACATTTTAGTGTGTTTAAATTAGCTTGTTTAAAGCTGAAAGATATATAATAAAGAATGGAGTACACTCTTAGCATGACCAGCTGCTGCAACTTTGTGTAACTGTGTATGCAGCTTGCTGTTTCTGTATAGAACGGGTCAGATTGGTATAAACACTCAGGTCATATTGCTCAACCTAAAGGCACCAAGATAAAATCTTGCATTTCATAAACTGTCTTCAAATGATTAGTCAATGAACTCTTAGCTTCTGTTACCCTGCATGGTGAGTTCTGCTATCTCAATGTATAGCGCTAAAGAAAATTCAAGCAAGTTAAATCACTTGAAAATATATCAGTTATTGCAGATTAAGTCTTGCATGGACACTCCCATGTTCAATTTAATTGAGTTGATCGGAACTATTATATAGATGACCCCTGAGAGTGAGGAATCTCAAAGAAGTAATTTTACTTACAGTAAGGATGTTTTTTAATTCTATTTGCAATGTGATCTCCTTATGTATTCCATAATCAGCCTTCCTTACTACTGAGACACAGTTATGTTCTTCTCTTTCTGTATCTGGAAAGGGGACAAAGTGACATCACAGGCATAAGGGCAGTCTGAATACACACTCTTGGCCAAAAGAATTCAAATTCAGGTGCATGAGGACCCTTGACTATTGAGACTGTAACTGATAAGTGTTTTGAAGAATCTGATATCATGAGGTAAGTGGCTGTTCCTTATTAAAAGAATCCTTGCTTCCAACAACAGTTCCTTATTGCTGTCAATTTTTGAGTGGATGTTTACTCTTATTTTTCTGTAATTTACAGATTTCCTGTTTCATTTCTGCTTTGAAATACAGTACACATCAAAGGAATGGTCACAATGCTATGAAGTGCATAAAGTAAACCTAATTCCTATTATTTGAAAGGACAGAAAAAGCATTTTTCATTAAAACTTTTTTTTTATGGTAAAACCTCAGTGGACTGGCAGTACTTTATGAAAGCTGATAATCACAGTTAGTCCTCTATTTTGTGTAGTTGCAGTTACTTGTAATGGCTAGGTCTTACTGAAACAGTAGTTCTTAAGTGCTTTTTCATCCCTTTAGCTTCTAGTATATCCATTCTCTTGCTATAATTAAACCTCATTGATGGCCATTTTTCTGGCTTTTTTATATTTTTTGTTAATTTCTAGACTTGAAATAAATGTTCTTCTAAAGAGCTATTCAGCCCTGAATTTTCTAGGTACACGTGACCATTGTATATATGTACACACATACATATACATATATATATATACAAGAACTCAATCACTCATTTTCTTAAAATTTTTCATAGTTATGTCATTTTCAGTTCACAAAATAATTCCTTAAGAGACATCCAGAGGATGAGGGACACAATCTTATTAATACACATTGCTCTTCTCCAAATGTAGATAATTCCATAGGCTGAATAAAAATAATGGGCATATAATGAAACATTAACAGAGTAGGTACACCAGTTTTCACTTCACTTGCTTTGGCAGATAAATTCTTGGCTTACAACTTGATTGTCCTAAAGTCCACCTCATTTTCTGTCCAAGTTTACTTGTTTTGCAGAGCTGGCAGAAAGGAAGGACTGCTTGTGCCTCAAGCACAGTGCAGAATCTCATGCATGTGGGCACAGATTTCATGTGCAGTTCTCTAGTGGTAATCCTGGATTAACCAACCTCTTACTACTTGCTTTCTTTGGGTCTTACCAAACTGTGTTGCCACATTATGAAGCTTATCAAGGAATTAATCTGATTGGCAGTCACCCCTGTGTTATTTTTCATGATAGCTCATCATGGAGCCTCCATGTTCCTTAAGAACAGCTGAGTGGTACAGTTTGTAGTGTGTGGGTGGGATGGTTAGCAAGAAGGGAACTGCTTAAGAAACATCCTATGGCTGCCTAATTAATGCTCAAATTACCCACAAGCCTAACATGACTCATCAAGTGATGTCATTGCATGTGGTTCTGTCTCCTGACTTCGGGGAGAGTGGTAACTTCTGGCAGGAGTACAGGAGGAACTTATGAGAATGAGTTATTGGTCAATTATTGCAGCAACATTTGCATAAAGATCATTTTCATTTTGGTTTGTCTGTTAAGTTTTCAGGTGAGTCTTAAAGAATGATGGATGTGGGCTGCACCAGCCAATGGAGCAAAAGAAATTAGTGGGCTCTTTCTTGTTTATGTGCAAACTGACAAAGGGCCCTGGGTCAATGCTTTCATAATGTTAAAACTTGCTAGAAAGGTAGATCTAATTGGGTGACATGGTAACTCAGTTTGAGGAGGCAGTCGGAGGATAGATGCACCTTGACCAAAAAAACAGCTGAGGAAGAGAAGATAAAACCCCATGCATTACAAATTTTGGGTCCTGCTCTGCAAGATTTCAGTATCTGGAATCCTGTTAGCAGTTCCAGTGGCAAGTTTGATTCATACTGGAAGCCTTGAGTGAATGAAGATGCTCCAATGTATCAGTCACACAACAAATGCACTTGAGAATACTTAATTTTTCAAAAAGCAAGTTAACTATTCAAAATACAGTTAATTTGGAAATTTTATTTAATAATCTGGTTCTAGAAAATATCAAGACTGTCAAGATAACGTTTTCTTTCTGGGAATTAGGTCTGCTGGGTCTGTAGCAGTTCCATCTCTCAAGGTCTCTTACTTGGCATCATCCTATAAAATGTATTTCTTCCTTACTGAAACATGATGAGTGTGATGACATTGTTTAAAAACATTCAATATAAATTACTCATGGTAAGGGTTTTGCTGTCCCTGCTAGCAGTGTAGGATCTTCTTGAACCTGATGTTCTGCCATTTGATTGGTTTTACTTAATAACTCTTTTCTTTGCTACAACATTGTACAGGTCCCTGGAGTGCCTCCACTCCTTCATTTGGTTTGATAACCCTGTTAAAAAATAAGACCAGACACGTTTTCCAGAGAGCAAAGAAACTGAGGATTTCAGCAGAGAAGATGCAGAAGTAGAGGACATGGCTGCTGAGGTACTTGGTGTGGCCCAGGTGTGCCAGCTCCCTCTCTGAGCAGGCACCCACAGGCTCTCACCCAAACAGGACTCGGGGCTCGTATGGGTATGCAGGCTTGTTGCCAGGAACGTGTCCCTACATTTTTACTTCAAATTGAATGTTTCTTGCCTGTGCTAAGATGAGCTTGGGGCTTTTGTGCATACTGACAATAAGATTTTTTCTCTGAGGGTGACAATAGGTTTCGTATAGACAAGGAGTGCCTGTGTGGGAGTGATTATTATGACAGAACAATATAAACTAATGCCAAGTAAGTCATGTATGGACACGCTTTGCACATACCAAAACAAATTGACTCTTTTATTGCATTACTTTTATGACATTACAAACAGAACAAAAATAAAAATACAAATTTGTATTTCATAAGCCTCTCATAAATTTAAGTGATTTTAGTATATGCTTTCTATGACTAAGATTATTATGCATTGACATTTTGCAAGTTGGTGCAGGTTATCTTTTTCTATACATCTAAATTCTTCGTTAACATATTAAACACAATTTAAGATCTGCGAGAAGAAATTGATGTTACATGGTCACTTCCATGCAATCAAAAGGGTATGTATTTGTTACATTAGGAGAAAGAAAAAAGTAACCTGCATCAATTTTCTTTTTAAAGTTTTGCTTAATCTTGTAGTGAGGCAGGCCATCCTTGTATTGATACTTTAAGAACACAAAGGATATCTAGATGCCTTTTTTTCTTAAGGCTTCTTAATTTTTGAATGCTTGGAGAGGTTTTTGCTTTTTATACCAGTTACACATGTTGAATCTTATTGAGGGAGCTTTCATCAGAAGTTTTAAATAATTATTTTTATTATGCTGTTAGTTTTGATAAATTAGTTTGAAGGAAAGTATTCTTTATCAGATGCTGAAGTACTTGGTACGTCTCTGACATACATCTATTAGCTATATGTCAAGAGACAGTTAAAGAGACTAAAATGTCAAAGAGATTGTGACTTTTTAATGTGTTGTTCCTTAGGGAGAGGTAAAGCAATCGTTTCTTGGCTTTCTCTTTCACTTCCCCGTGATCTGTACCTTTGTCCCAGTGACCTCTGCAACTGCCCATGTGAGGTGAGAAGCCTCTTCTTAAAACTTCCACTGTTAGTAGTATTCCTGGTTTAAAGATCCAGACTTACCTTAAGTAATAGTGTTTTGTTTTTCATGGTACAATTTTTTTCTAAGAGGGGCCAAACCAGAAAGGGGGGAATATTTTCAATGTATTTTTTTGTTTTTACTTTTTCTGCTCTAATTAAATGAGTTAAAACCAATTGACTATCTCTTCTGATTACATTTGGGTTAAATTCTACTAGTTTGGGGTTGAGCATTCTGAATTTTATTGGTTTACTGTGATTATTTCTGGTTGTTTCTGTTTCAAAATTACCACCCCATCTAAGGGCAGTACGAGAACATTTGTGTCACTAACTCTGTTTAGACAGTAATTCTGGATGCCGTCCCCTCTGTAAAGCAAACTGATGGCACCAGAGAATTGCTGCGGCTCCTGACGTTGTGCAACTATGTGTAATTTGTTCATTGATACTCAGTGCCTTCAGTGACAAATCCCAGGAGCAGACATACTGTAAAGGAGATTACTGTAAGGAGAACTTGGGCTCAGGCACTCTGATCACGGGGTCAGCATGGCACCGTGAGCATCTCTCCCAGTGGGCTCGCTGAATTCAGCCTTTTAGAAAAGCCCTTAACATGTGGTATTTAACTAAAAGCCTTTCCTTAGTGCATGTGGTAGATTTATGTAGAGATTGCACAGGCGAAACGCGAGGCTTTGCTTTCGTGTTCTTGCTGTGTCCGTGGGATGCCGGGGCCGAGGGCCCGGCCCCACCTCCCCGGTGAGGGCGCGGCGGGCGGGGCCGCACCGCCCGCGCTGCTCCCAGGCCGCGGCCTGGCCCGGCCGCCCCCGGCGGGCGCCACCTGCCCGCGCGGCGGCCCCGCTGGCGGCCCCGCTCGCCGCCCCCGCCCGTAGGCCGCAGGAGCGCCCGCCCCCCGCGGGCTGTGGCGGGCGCGGTCGCTCGGCCGCCCTCACTCCGCGCTCCGCGCCGGGCCGCGCCGGGCGATGCCGTGCGAGCAGCCCGACGGCGGGGCCGCCCCGGAGCGGTACGTGCTGGGGGTAGACGTGGGCAGCACGATGGTGAAGTGCCACGTCTACGACCGGGCGGCCGTCGTCAGGGGTTCCAGCTACAGGAAGGTGAGTGCTGGCGGGTGCGGGGCGCTGTCCCGCTCCGGAGCCGGGCCGAGCACCTGTCTCGCGCCCGGGCGGGGCCGAACGTGCTCGCTCTGCTCCGAGCGGTTCCGACCTGCGGGCCCCCGAGAGGCTGCGGGGGTTTCCCGTCGGGGCTCGCCGTTCGCAGGAGCTCGCCCAGCTCGGCTGGTCCCGGTGCGCGGGCATCCCGTGAGCCAGGGCGGACAGGAGCGGCTCCCCCTCTCCAGGCGTGGAAGGAAACCCACAGCCCCCGACCCCCGCGAGACTGCCGTAGCGATCACCCCGTTACTCCCGCGCTCTCCCCCTCTCAGCTTTCCCGGTTACCTTACTTTCGGTCACTTATGGACTAATCTCTGTCTGAACAAAACCACTTTTGTTAGGAGGGCATAGCTCAGACTTGCGTAGGACTTGTGTTTACACGCATCCCATCATGTAACAGCGTCGTGTGAAAAAGTGTCAACTTTAGAACATGAATTTCAGGCTGCTTCTGGTTCGTACAACTCGTGATCTTGCTGTTATCTATTGCAATGAAAAGCTTGCAGCGAAGAGAAGTGTAAGAAATCTGGTGGATTTCGGGAATGGAAGGGGCTGCTCTCGGTGGAGCTGACCCTCCCTGTGGCTGGGATCTTATCTGACAGGTGGTCCCTGGCCTGCTGTGCTGCCATTGAGAAGCTCAGAGGTATCGTGGTCTGAATTAAGCAGTGAAGCAGACATGGCTTTCTGAGACACCTGCTTTCCTGTTTGCAGCTCTGAAAAGGGCTTTACCCGTTCCTTTATTCCAAGAGGTTTGGACTTAGGTATTTCAAGGGGTTTGAGCTTCCTTATTCCCCCTGAATAAAGGAGGTCTAGAGATCACACACACAGGTTGAACAATATTTTCAAAGTTACAATGTTGTTTCTACTCTCACAGGAGATTCACAAAATGAAGAACAAAACAGAACAACCCAAACCCAAATGTATTTGCTGGTTTCTGTGAACTAGGGATCACAATAATGTTACTTGTGTTTCCTGAACAGGTAGAATCCCTTTATCCTCGTCCTGGGTGGGTTGAATTAGATCCTGAAGTGCTATGGAGTCAATTTACTGGTGTAATAAAAGAGGCTGTACAAGGTAAGGGCTTAAACTTTGAGAAATTATTTATTTATCAAAATTAGTAAGGTTAGTTACTTGAGTAATAAAACTATTTTAGCTGGTATTGAAAATCATCACTGGGCACAGGTCTACAACATGCTTTAAGGCCTATTCAGTCCTTATATAAAATAGGGCACTTCAATTACCTTTTTCCTTTCACTGGGGCCAGATTAGGATTGAAGTAGAAGCAGAAGCAATGTGAATACTTGATTTACGCATCAGAGCCAGCACTTTGTTGCTCCAGCTTTTTGTATATACATCTTTCCCCAGTGTCTGTTCGTCCAGATGCCTCTGTGCAGGAACAGAGAGCAGACTTGTTCCCCTTCCAGTGCCCCATTGTTCTATGGCCACTCTGTATGTGTGTGTATGAGGGAATGAATGAAGGATGCTGCAGAGCTGTGCTCACTCGATTGCAACCTGATATTCCTACTTTTTCCATTCAAACTTTAAGTGGTTCTTACTGTCCTAGTCATGTATTACTGTTCTTTTCTATCCGTACTTTAGCCTAAAAATTCCTGGTGCTCCACACACTAAATACATACAACTCTCTTTTCTGACAAACCTCTAGGTTTTTTCCCCTGCTTTTCTGGATGCTGCTCTAACCTAGTTCTTACTCTTTACAACTCCATAGCTTTCATATTAAATCCATCTCCACTGTTCTGCCATCCATCCTGGATCACCTTCTGTGCTGTGTTGATGTCAGATGGACCCCAGCTTGCCTTCCCACAGTGCCTCAGCCTCCTTGGCCTGTGTGTATTCATTGCACTCTTTCATTCAATTCATTCAGTTCCTCCTGTTCAGCCCCTCTTGCTTGGTCTCCAGTGTTGCTCTGCCTTCAAATATGGCTTATGGCACAACTGCTTGTCCCTTCCTTTGGAATGCTGCCTAAGGAACAGGGAAAGTAAATATCACCAGGTGTAAGCTGAAGCTGATTATTTTGGGCTCTTGTTTTGTCAGCAGCCATAACCGTTTGGTCACAAGAACAGCAATGCCACCTCAACCCCCGAAGACCTTACTGTCTTCCTTCATTTCCATTCTGTAGGACAAATCAGGAAGCAAGACTTTTCAGCTAGTTTTAAAAAGGGAAGATTTCCTTGTGGCCAAGCTGCATGCATTGTTGACAAGTCATTTTTCAGTGGGTGTGTAAGTAATCATAACTCACAGTGCTGTCAAAAGAAGCAGTGCCACCCCCTTTTTACAGTTGTTTCTGGTCTAGGGAAGTTTCCTGAGTCGAATCACTGTCCAGTTGTTCATGCCAGCAGAGCTTCACCAGTGTTTGTGCTGACGCAAGAGAGGGTGTGGTAGCAGGGGCAGGAATGACTGTCTGGAAGCAGAAGGAGCACGGTGATACTCGGGTTTGCAGGGCTTGTGGGGCTAAACGTGATTCCATGCACGTGGGGATGAGCTGCTGTAGTTCAGTACTACTGAAGGTGGAAACTTATGGCTGCACGGTCCCAACTCTGTCTCTAACTGTAGCACTCCATCCAAAGGACACCTTAACTGAAAAATATCCATGTTTGACTTTAGGTTTGTTTTTGTCTGTAATGGAAGTTAGCTCCACTTATGTGAGTGTCTGGAGAGCATGATAGCTGACACAGGGAAAGTGGTGGGACCGTGCAGACTGTGGAGATGGGAAGGAGTTAACACATACCAGTAGTTAGTGAGTTGTGGAAGTGCTTGTATGGCTTTTCCTGTAAAAGAAATAGTGCTGTTCTCAGGCCACCTGTTCCCAGGTCCTCCTCTTTGTACACTCCTGCTACCAGCAGCACTTGTGCAGGCAGCTGGAGCAGGTTGCCTTGCGAAAGCACTGGTTTAATTTTCAGCTGATTGAGGAATTGATAGTACTGATGGCAGGAATGCAAGGACCCAGTGTAAGGGGAAGTGCAGAAGCACACATAGAGTTGGGCAGCACAGGTTGGCCCTTTCTCTGTGAAATCCCTTCTGTAGTTGTCACTGAGAATGCTGAGTGTAGAGTCTGCAGGACATTCTCACACAAATGAACAACTTTGCACGTGAAAATTAACATGAGAACGCGTATGAGCAAGACTTGCTTTACCTGTGATTTGTTCAAGGAGCTGGATTGAGAGCCCTTCAGGGTAACAGTACTTAGGACAGGGTGGGTAGTCTGTCATTTAAGTAGAAATTTTTTAATGCATATTTTCTTAATGTGTGTTCTTTTAATGTGTATTTTTTCTTCTGTAAATATGGCTGGAGGTAATTAGCAAGTTGACCAGAGTTGCTTTGAAAATAGCTGTGGACATATTTAATTATTTACACTTACATTAGAAGAAATGTTCTGTAGCAGTTATTTGAATTTAAGGTTTAACAGCAAAATTGGTGTATATCCAAATGTACAGTTTTGTACTTCTGACTTTAAAGTTTACTTTGTTGCATTCAGTGGTACCTGGTTTAAGCAAATTCATTATTAGGAATTTTGAAACGTTGCTTAAGAAATATTTAAAGTGAGACATGTCATTATCAAAGTGATGCAAAAAGTCATGGCATATTCACATTTATCTATTTACTGCCTGCAGGATCAATCTAGTTTTGTTTCTTTATAGAAATTCTTTCTGTAAGTCTGTAAAGGTACTTTCATTGGTGCTTTCATTCACATTCATCCATGTGAAATACACATTTTAATTGATTACATGGGCATATGTAATATACTTGCCTGTCTCTGGGATTGTTCATATTAAGTATCAACCAACAGACCTTTCAGAGGGTGGAAAGGGTCAGAGTGCAACAACTGCTTTTGGAAAATACATGGGTTTGTTTATCTGATTTGGAATCAATTATCTGACTCAGAGCTCTCTAATATTTCACTGCTCTAAACACTTTGTTGAACAATTTGTAGAGATTTATATTCTTATGAACTATTAGTTTCCTAAGTATTCCATAGGTTTTATAGTTATATTGAAGAAGTTATGTTTTTGTTTGCTTCTCCAACTAAATGCTTTTTTTGTGATTGTCATTTCTTTTTGGTTTTTAGCTGCAGGACTTCACATGAGGCAAATTGCTGGTCTTGGCATCTCCACCCAGAGAGGAACTTTCATTACATGGCACAAGTATGTATGTTGTTTGTCCTTTAAAATGAATTCTGTTCTTTAAAATGAATTTTGTATTCATTTGTATTCATAGACTGGATGGGAGTAGGCTGTAGAAGTGTTGAAGTCAAAAGTAAAAAACTGTCAAGTCACTCATGTTCTCTTGCGTTTGCACAGCCACACCCTAGAGCAGTTCAGAACAGACTGTGAGTGTGTGGCCTTTTTGTTCTTTGCACATTGGAAGAGACGAATACACATGTATTTTTAATTCTGGTGAGAAGTCTAACACTCCAGATGTCTATGTGCTGATTTGGTAATTCCTCAAATCCACCAGAAGGATATGCAGTTATTATAGAAACTGACCTAGTGTTTGTTTTCCTGATTGGAAATAGTGAATAATGTTGAATGTTTTGGGCAATTTGTGTTCTGTAGCTTTAAACATTCAAATACTGTTTTTCAGGAAGACAGGGAAACCCTTTCATAATTTTATAAGTTGGCAAGACCAAAGAAGTGCTGACCTTGTGAATTCCTGGAATAAGTCCCTTCTGCTGAAGGTAAAACCATATTTATGTAGATGCTGCTTGGATATATTAGAGCCATTTAACTTTTGAGACAAGTAAGGTCAATATATGGAATACTGCAAGTGTCCTGTTCACATAGTGATGTGATGTGCTGTGACCTAAAACATTTAACTGAGCAATATTAGCATGGAAGATGAAAGAAAAAAAAGGTTTAGTACTGGTAGCCTAAAGTAATTATTATGGAAAGAGATACCTGTAGGTCTAAGGCTCATTTTGTTATTTTTTTGTCTGTTATATTAAAACATTGCATGTTAACACCATTACAGCATAGATTTTGGATGTAGGTAGGTGTGCATTGGAAGTGGTTTGGGCTTTTGGTTTCCTGGCTAGTTTTTTTCATGTACCCTTGCTCAGATTATCTATAGGAGGTACATTTTATGCTGTTTGTGTCTTTCTCTTTAGAAGAGAAAGATTTGCTCTAAGTACAAAAACAGAAGTTACTTTTCCTCTAAGTGGAAACTAACCAGCACAGTCACAATAAGAAATTAAATTCTTGGGTTTGCCACTTACTTCTTTTGTGAAAACTTGATTAATGATTAAATTTTGGTAAATCTATTAAGTCATGATTGAGCCTGTCAACTGTAAGAGAACTTCCACTGGAATAACAGTGTGTAATGCTGTCAGCCACATCATGCATTTGTGCTCACAGGGGTGACCAGTGTTGGCAATGCAGAGCAGTGGCTGTCAGTGCTCCAGCAGAAAGTGCTAAAGCAGCCTTGCTTAAAGCAGCTGCTCTTTCCTGTGGTGTGTGTTGCAGGAAGGCTGGCTGTTGATATGAAGATCATTACATAATCCTACAGAAGGATCCTCTAAAGGAGATTTAGCTTTCTGAATCTAATCTCATGTCAGCAGCTTTCATCTGTGTTGTCTTCCTTAAAGGTAATTGATTAACCTTTAAAGGGCAGGATTAAAAATTAAGTAACTGTTTTCTTTTGAAACAGGTAATCCATGTTATTTTTACAGTGCTTCATTTCTTGACTGGGAGTGATCGATATTTGGTACCCAGTTTTCTTACTTTTTCAACACATCAGACTTCTATGAAGTTGTCATGGGTTTTTAAAAACATTCATGAGGTAAGCTGGAAAGGGAAAAACAAGAGGTTTCTTAGGCCATAATGGTGGCTTGTGACTTGGAGGTGTTCAGGACCAGGCTGGATGGGGTTTTGAGTGATCTGGTTTAGTGGAAGGTGTCCCTCCTCATGGCTATGGAGTTGGAATTCCTTTAAGGTCCCTTCCAGTCGAGGCCATTCCATGACTTTGTGATGTTGCCTGTAATTGCTTCAGTTTTGTCTTGCTCGTTCTTCTCAGAGGAACCAGAAATAATTTTTTCTGTTAATGTTCAAAGCCTGATTACCTACATAGTGACTTACATTCATACACATTTTTCCTCTCATTCTGGAAATGTGTAGTAGTAAAAAGCTTTCTTCATACATAAGCAACATAATAAAATCATCTTATTTCACTTGATAAATTTATACACCTAGTGATTGTACTTTGTTTTAAAGCTGTTTGCACTCTGATTTTGCATGATGGTTTTATTTTCAATGGGACATCTTACCTTTCCACTCTGCATTATTCCAGTGTTCCAGTGTTCTACAGTTTCACAAATACCATACTGCACAATTCATTTTTCAGTTCTGTGCATTGGAAAATGCACGTGGAATAAATTGTGCTCGATTAATCTAGTGCACTAATGAGCCCTGAGCTATTTGTTGCTATATTCACTGCTCTAATACTCACCATGCAGGACCTTGTTTTCTTTATCCAACACTCTTTCACCACTGTTATAATTGTGACTGTAAGTTTCTGTTTATAAGGCTGTGATGCCCCTACAGTCTAAGATTAATTGCTTTTCTTTTCTTAGGGACAGCTGTAAGAAAGTGTTCTTATTTTCTGTTATGAGCATGAGCTTGTAGGATAATATTAGTTAAATAGCCAACTCAGCCTATTTAGAAGAAAAGTTTACAATCAGACATTTTCTGAGGACATTCTGATTAATCATGAAGAAAATAATAAAAGAAACCAATAAATATGCTTCTTTTACTGTATCCAGTTGTAAATACTTTTATTTCCATGTATTTTTTTCCCCAGGCTGAAGAAGCTGCCAAAAAAAACAACTGCTGCTTTGGGACGGTTGACACGTGGTTACTGTATAGATTGACTAAAGGTGAATATTGCAGTTCCTCTTAAATATCAGTAAAACACACTGTAATCTAAGAAATTATGTTCATTACTTGTCATTTATATATCCTAGAATTCAGATACTTTTTTGCAATTTGTACTTCTGTATATTTGATAAAAATCAAAACATATTTACTGTTACAAAAAGAACTCCTGAATTAATTATTCATTGGGCCTGCCTGGAAGGGAAATATTTACTCAGTGTAATCAGCCTCTAAGAGTGTAGGATTTAAAGAGATTTAAAGAGGACCGACAGAGCTAATTGGTGTTGACTGAAGAAAAGTATCTGTGAAAGACCAAAGAATTGTTACAAATGTGGAAGAATTACAAGTTTCTCTCCTGAGGACTAACACCTGAGGAGTCAGATTATGATTTTGGTGCAGCTGATGTGCTGCTTTTGGCTGTTCTAGACAGGTTCATCAGGGGAAATAGGGTAATTAATGTGTGCACATTATAGTGAGCAGCAGGTAAAATCTTTGTGCTCATTGTATCATTGCAATTTTTCTCATACACACTTGATTTATATTTCATGGGAGCCAATGAGATGTTTAAAGAAAGCTATTAAATATTTGGATATCTAAAAATCTTACTTTGTTCTATTTCTTTTCATGCTAGGTTCTGTGTATGCTACAGATTACTCAAATGCCAGTACTACAGCCATTTTTGAACCCTTTACGGTATGTGCAGTTCCCAAAGAATGGTGTTGCTGTTTATTGTGCTTCTCAGAGGATTGCTAATTTTTTACATTTTCCATTCATTTCAGAAATGTTGGACTCCCACTTTGTGTAATCTACTTTCTATTCCCATGTCTATTTATCCACCGGTGAAAGACACAAGGTAACTATGAAGGCGTAATTAAAATAATATGATAACTGTTAAATTAATTGCTAAATTAATTATGATTAATTAAGAAATACTAAATATTCTGCATAGGCCAGATAATACACAGGTGCACAAATTTTTTTTTTATATGCAGTTATACCTTATATAAAAGTATATTAAGTCCAAAACTTTTTTACTGTGTTTCTTAAAGTGATAGTTTTAATATTTTCTTTAAATAAATCAATAGCATTACCTTTTATGTGTGATTTAGACCCAGGCTGTATGTACCTAGATTTCAGTTTAACAAAAAGGTCATTTTAATGTGATTTGTTTTAAGCTTCAACTTTGGATCAACTGACTCTGAAATATTTGGAGTACCTATTCCAATAATGGCAATGGTAAGTGAAAATATTTTCTTAAATCTGTGTGTTTATACTCTACTCGTTTGTCTTTGATTTAGTATTTGCTTCTTTCATTAGTATTCTCTATTCCTTCTCTGTAACTTAACTACAATAAAATTGATTGTTAATTTTTTTCTCCAAAAACCCAGTCTACAACCTTAGGGGAAAGGAGGAGAAAGGAACAAGAAGGGATTTCTAGAGGCTTGAGGTCCATTAAGGTTGTGTGACCAAATGATTCAGTACTGAATGTAGGACTCCAAGCTCTAGTAATGTGTGTGTCTGGCTTAAAATCAGTTGTTCTGTATAAAGTTATGCAAGAGTCCATTCTGGCTTGACTTCAGTAAGACAGAACAACTGTAAGAGTATTTGTTAATAGATCTACTTGTGATACTTTTTATCCGTTTTTTATTTTTCACTAAAAAGAAGTTGCAAATAACATGTTCTTTCCTCAGTAGTTAGAATTTGGATAAGAAAACCTAAAGTGATGATTTGGAGCAAAATCTGCTTGAATTGAGATAAATTAAAAAACTGTCCCTTAGCTAACATGACTTGTTTTAAAGAACTGTGGAATAAATCTAGCTGTAAATTTACTGTTTCACCAAGGCAAAAACATAAGTAAAATACATTTAATAACCGTCCTCATTATGGAGAAATGGAACATTGAATAATTTGGTACAGGAGGGGTATCAAGGAGAAATACAGGCAAGACCTCAAAACTTCAACTTTATCTTTGGAGAAAGAGGAATTCAGGCGAAGCTGCTCTGTTCTGCTCCCTGGGATTGTAAATGTCCCATTTAACCTTGTTAATATTAAACCACAAAATACTTCTTTTGTTTCCATAATGTTTTTCAGTGTTGCAAGCAGTACTACAGACATTCACGTTGTGTCTAAACATGGTGTAATTAGATGCCAGTGCTAAGTCTGACTCTTGTAATGGCCTGCAAATATTTAAGAAATTGTAAAAGAGTCCTCTCTGAATGCTCAGTTCTTGAATGGTTACTTGTGTTCATAACTCCAAAGTGTTTACAGAGATATTTCCAAACCCAATATTGCAGGTTGGTAGCTAACTTGTCCCATTGTCTTTGTTGGATTGACAGGTAGGTGATCAGCAGTCAGCTATGTTTGGAGAATGCTGCTTTCACCCAGGAGATATTAAACTGACAATGGGAACAGGTGGTTTCTGGAATGTGAATACTGGAGAGCATCTCTTCGCATCACAAGGAAGTATGACAGTCAAGTTCTGGTTTTAGGGGATTTTATTCTTTCAGCTGTTCCTTGATAGCTGTTAATGATGAGGGTACACAAAAGAAGAAATAGCAATTTTTTAGGTTAACTTTGGTCTTACAATCTCTTGCTCAGTTCTTTTGTAATCCCATCACTAAAGTTTTAAACAACACATTTAACCTCTATCAGTGGCTTCTTCAGCTTGAATTCTTCAAAGGAATTGATATTTTTTAGATGGGTTTATTGTGAGGAATGTTTGTGTATGTTTTTCTGGAAACATTTAATTTAACTGAGTGTTTTGTTTCATGGAAAATAATTAAGGTCTTTATCCCCTGATCGGTTGGAAGATTGGGGAAGAACTTGTTTACTTAACTGAAGGCTCTATATCAGACCTCGGGACTGCCATAAAATGGGCTCAGGATATGGGTAAGTTCTTTAATTTTATAAAGGATGAAATATATAACTGCTTAAGAAACTGTTTTACGGGTTCATAATTATGTTACTGGATTTGATTTTATTATTCATAATTGAAGGAAGTAATCTACATGTTTTGGACAGCAGAAATGTGCAGTCTTTTTAGTAGGTACTCTGCTGAGGGTGCTTGCTGCAGGCAGTTTGGTTTGCACAGTCATCTCTTCAGTCTCTGCCTCAGACCGTCCTGCCTAACTAGGCTTTCATTTTCCTGAAACATTTTACTCCTCATCTGCTTTCCAGAGGTCTTGAGCTGTACATCTCATAACTAATAATAGGTTTGGTTTGTATGAAAGTAACATAAAGAACTTTGCAAGTAGCAATATGTTGCTTCATGTGGAAGTAATGTGCCTTTTGGTTGTTATTATTATTTTGTAATGAAAGGTTTCGCAGTCCAGTTTTGTGACAGATTAGAACTTTAAAATTTACTTGGCTTATTTAGAAATTTAGTACATTTTTACTAGGATGAGTAAAAAGTGATTAGTGTCTCAAACTTTGGACTGTCTGGGAAGGGTTTTCCTCAAGTGTAACTCACCACAGAATTCCACATTTCTTGAAGCTGTCAGCTTTAGGTGCATGTGTACATGTATGTGCTCTGGTGTGTGCCCCTAAGGGTTAAGTATGACTCAGATTGGTCCTCACGTCTTCATCCAACATTGACTAAGCCTAGAAAGTAACAGCCACGAGGCTTTGGAGGAAATGATTCAGTTCAATGCACAGTTCAGTGCTGCAGACTCAAGTGTCAGTGCTACTTCAGAATCCATTATTAAAATGGGTAATTATCCATATGGAACTTACTGTACTTAAAATGGATATCATTGGTATATGCAAATAAAAGGACTTTTAGCTAGTCAATAGTAAAATGATTGTGACCTACAGTTGCTACCATAGAAGCATAGGTGGTTGAATTGACAGTAACAACATGGGGGGAAGAATATGTTCTGTGAATCTAAGGTTTGAGCAGTCTAAGGGTGCCATTATCATTCTTAATTCCCATTATGTCTTGAGGATTAAAAGGCTACAGCATAGCAAATAGGAGAGGATCCTTTTGAATTTAGTCTTCATCTGAATAGTTTGGGATTATTGATGTGACTGATGGACATGAAAGAAAGGAGAAGAGATTGTTTCCCTTATAACATGTTGCTTAAAAATATTACAAAAAGAGTAGTCTGACTCTAGATTTTATCTCTTAGTGAGACAAAGTGAATAAATTGAAGGAAATGATAACATCATACAACCTATGTGTCTTTACAGAACTTTTCACCAATGTAGATGGAACGGCAGAAATGGCACAGAGTGTTTCTGATTCTGAAGGTGTTTGTTTTATTCCAGGTGTGCAGGTAAAAATATTAATAACAAAATCAATAATATATTTTAATAACCCAATTAAAATTAACTTTTACTTTTTAATCTTATCACGTATTTATTCTGTGCTATTGAGGTTCTTACTGCCTGTTGCTCATCACGATACATGAAGGCCATTGTCATATCAGAATGGTTAAATGCCATTCCTTCCCTTGAGAAAAACCCTGCCAAATAGGAAAATTAGTGATGGATAAATAAACTAAATTATTTGCCTCCAGTAACACAGGCAGTGCCTGCAGAGACACAGACCAGTGTCACAACTTTCATGCTATGAAGTGCAGAGCTTTGACTGAGGCAATACTTCTAATCACTGTTCTAAAATAATTAATTTTATTTTGCCATTTTTCAAGGTGTAGATTGTAATTCATCAGAATATTTAAAAGTATCTAAATATTAGCAAGATTGCAAGTCCTAGTGTTATGAAAAGCAAACATAATTCTTAAGCATGTCTCCTGGGAATGATCAAACTCATTATAATAGATTTCTCTCATAGAATTCTTAGTAACTGTTTGGCTTCAGTGATATGAGCTCATCTCTTGATGTGTTGCTAAAAGTTGGAGTTAATTGTACTCAGTTTGATTATTCCCAGGACTAGTCTTTTCTAATGAAGAAACTTAACATCTTTACCTTGCCTTTGTCTAAGTTCTGTATGCTAATGGAACAAAGCACAGAAGAATTTAATTTCTTCTCCAGATATCCCAGCTTCCTTCAGTGTCACTGGTAACAGGCTGTATACATCAATATAAGTGTTATATTTCATTATACATCAATAAAAAGAGTTGTTGTCCTTTTCAGTATTACTTTTGAAAGTCAATTCATTTTTTTTTTCAGGAATTCAGGAGGGGGCATGTGTGAAATCTTGTTAGAGAGCAGCAATATCAGTAATATGAGTGTACACTGTCCTAGACACTTAGTGTGCACTTTAAATGCATTTTAAAGGGAAATTATGTGGATTAGTCTTCTTTAGTTTGTCTGATTTGGAAGAAGTCATTTAAACGTTTTGCTGTTGAAAGAAGCAATTTAAACTGTTCACTGAGTAGGCTAAAATAACACTATAAACCTCTTACATATTGTTTTCAATTTTCTTCTTTCACTATGCTGCCTGTAATTGTCGTAAGTTATTTTTTTCTTACCCTTTAACTTCTTTCACAAAAGCCTACAAATACAATTCACTGAACTCATGGTGACATCTTTTCTGCAGGTTTCTGGGGATGACCCATATTTATGTGCCTCTTTCATAGGGCTGAAACCTTCCACTAACAGAAACCATCTTGTTCGAGCCATATTGGAATCTGTAGCTTTCAGGTACTGCTTGCTAAATTATCTGGCTTATATTTTCTTATGTTTGCTTTTACTTAGATCAGCAGTGTTAAATGGATACATGGACTTCTGCAGTTTGTACAATGCACTACTGTTACACTGGACAGGAGTTTTAGCTGCTTCCTTTTTTTTTAACACTTTACAAATAAATTTGTGTATAGTTGTTAGTTCAGTTTTTGCCATTAAGTAACCACATAGAGATTCTTAAATAATGTTGTTTTCTGCATATTTTAAAAGTGTTTTCTGTTTAAATTTTGTCCTTCCTCTCCTGACAGTGTTTTGTCAGAAGCTGTAGTCCTCTGCAGCTGTGTTTAAAGTAACCCTGAAGCTGGAAGCTTTATATTGGCTTTTGTTTAAAGTTTAAAATTTTGGTGTTGTATAAAACAAAGTAACAGGCCTCTTAAACGTCTTAAAAGTTGTGAATGGACAGCAGCTTCCAGATCTGTGAAAGCTAAAAATGTCACTGCTGGTCACTCCTATACCACATCAGTGTCTCACTGCTTTGCCAACCCCCAACATGCCTCAAACTGTAGCTAAGTATGGATTGAACATGGCTCACACTGCACTGTGGCCAGTTAGGGAGCATTGATGTGATTCCTTCCATGTAGTCAACAACTTTACTTTGGGCATAAAAATCTCCTGCAAAGAGCTCAGAAAAGATAACTAGACCAGGGCAGCATTCTGAATTGCTGCAGCTGGTTTCTAATGCATTTTCCTTCTGCCCTGTAAGCCTGAACATGAGAAGAAATAATTTCTGAACTGACATGTGGGTGTCTTGAAGAGCATGTTAAGGGATATTAAGAATTCATCCATCTCATTCAAATACTGCATATAAATAACTAGAAAAAAGTAAAGATCCTTTGTGTTTAGATTTTCTCCTGTTAAATGAAATGATTTAAGAAAAAGTCAAACTTAAAAGCTTCAGATATTCCCCATACAGAATAGCTGGATGAACTCCAATTAGCACTGTTAGCCGACTTTCCTCACTCTAAGCCACTTGTTACATCAACAATTGCATCTCTAGAAATCTATCAGTAGGATAGTGGAAAAATGAACCTTCTACAGTGACCTGCTATAGAGTGGGCCACGGTTTAGCCATCCTTGTGCCTTTGTAACAGTGACAAAGACCAAACACCAGTTTCAATGGGTCTGGGTTTTTCATTTATGCATTCTAGAAACTTTTCAGCTACTGCAGCAGTTCTAAGAAAACTGAGGCTTTTCTTGCTTTGCGTTTATTTTCTGACTATGTAGATACTGAAAACACTTTATGGAATATAAAATGCTTAATTCAACAAAATATTTTTTTAAAGAAACAAACTGCTTTATGATATCATTGTGAAGAAGGTGCACATTCCTCTTCGAACTATTCGGTAAGTTCCCTGTAACTTTTAAATTTGATATATGAGAGTTTGATTTATTACGCATCTTATTTTACTGTAAAAATTCTTCTATTTAGAAGTAAATTATTTCCAAGTCAAATGTTAATGTAACTTAAGCAGCAGTAGACTCTACCCACAGCTATTGGTGATTTTTAATAGGGGAGTAATGAACTTCTCTAATTATTCAACAAAAGTTAAAAAGAAGGCATATCCATGTTTTCAGGTAGCACTAGAGTGTATATAGCAATGCCTACCACAAAGGTCATTCTATCCTTTGTCATCATTCTTTCACGTTGACATTGACATTTTCTGTGCTGGGTCTTTCACAGGCAAGTTTTTGAAGACATTAGTTAAAACTGGTTCTATTTGTGAGGGAAAGAGGGAGATTAGTTTTACAATTCAATTATTAAGACACCGATTTTGCTTTAATCTTTGAAGAACTACATCAAATTTAGTAAGGTAACTGTAATCCCTAGAATATGCTTGCCCAACATGTAGCTGAATTAAACATTGCTGGAAGACCACGTGTCACATTTTGGTAGGGACCTTTCTTGAGCACACCAGTTGCCAGAAGCTCCAGCCCTCTGAGGCTCAGAAAGCTCTGCAACAAAATTCCTCCTTCAGGCAGCCAGGGGTCAGCATGGCACTGCAGTCAGGAGCAAAGGCCAGCGTTCCATCCCTCCTGTTCCTCTGCAAAGGAAGAATAGATTGGCAGGCATGTAGACAGAAATCAAGACTCTCCATGGGAAAAAAGCCAGAGTACAGAAGTGGGAGGAGGTGAAGTTTCTCTTTTCCATCGCATATTGGGAGAGAGCAGGCAAAGGTGAAGTAACAGCCAGGGTTAGTGGTTTAATGAAAAGTACAAGAACTTTGATTACTTAGGAAGCTTTTTAACATAGAAAATTACATCCAGAATTTGAGAAGTCACATTAAAAGTGCAAATTCTTAAAAAACTCTTAAAATATATGAAGTGTGGAAATACAGGCTAGGGAGCATTAGAATTCTGATTCCATTTGCATTGCAATGTAAGCTTTAAATTGTATGATGATGGGTTTTTTTTATTCATGGATATAAAATTGCAGTTTTATATAGTGTCTGTATTACTCAACTAAAATCGGCTTGTAGCCATTCAGCTTGTGAATTAAATGTTAAAACATGAGACACGCTCAGTGGGGTTGTCAGTAGGGTTGCAAACTGCTCTGCCATCCTTACATCTACACATCTTTTGCATTTGTCAATCACCTTTGCTTTTTTGTTGTTTTTATCCCATAAATTAATTGATTCCTTTTTTAGCTGTTGTCTGGTATTCCTTGTTCCTTCCTGCTCTCTGGGCATTGTTTTCATTAGTCTTCTATAGATTCCTATTACTTCTCTTTGCTTGTGTCAACACCATCGAGAAAAGCACAAAGAAAGAGCCCTCAGCCTTAGTCCACATGTCCTATAATTAATGGGTTTTATTACCCAACCCTTTCTGTAGCAATAAACACTAGATGTCTTCTCTGCACTACATTTGATAGAGCAACAGCTCCACACATGGCTGGTATTGGAGTACACGAGCATAATTAACCTATCTAGGACATTTGAATGATTGCTGTTTGTTATTTTGTTTGTAAGAGTAATTACTTTGAAATCTCAGATTATTAAATATCAGCACTGATAAGACATAGTTTTCTCCATTAAATTGGTCTCAAATTAATAAAATAGACAGATGGAAGCCTCATTCTGAACTTCCTCTTAAAAAGAAGCAGCTATGAAGGAATTTTATCTAACTAATACAAAGATTTGGTAGGAAGGACAAAGGTACTTTTTCAGATCTGAGAACACGTGAAAGGGTTTGTTTGGTGTAATGGTTTTGACTGTTGTCATATCATGGTGGTAACTGTGGTTTTGTTAAAAACCCTAACATTTCAGCCAAGATGATGTTTAGTTTTAAAAGACAGAACTTTCAGAGCTTTTGATAGTGTTCTGTGTCCCTGTCTGTCTACCATTCCTCTCAGAGTTTATAAACTTTGTTTTCTTCTTCTTTTTTTGGCACCTTGTTCTGTCTTCTAAATTTACCCATAAAGTGAAAATGCGTTTATGCATGAGTGACAGGAAGATTTATGCATAAGTGTGAAATACCAAACGTTGTTTTCTGAAATGCTGGCAATAAGCACTTAACACATTTTTTTAACTACTTCTTCCCTTCTCCCTATAGAGCTGATGGAGGTGTCAGTAATAATAGTTTTGTCATGCAGATGACATCAGATTTAATTAATAAGAAAATAGAAAAACCTACAAATGCGGACATGTCTAGTCTTGGTGCAGCTTTTCTAGCAGGCCTTGCTTCAGGTATGTAGACATTAAAAAGACTTTTTTTTCCTTTATAATGCATGTTATTAAGAGAAATTAAAAGCACAAGAAAGCTGAGACCCTTGACAGACAAGAATGAGTTAATAATGTAAATTAATAAGAATCTGTAACACCAGCTGTTTCTTGCCATTTATACAAATTTTTAAGACAGTAGGAGTAGGACAGCAGGTAAATCTTGGTTTCTGTGGCTGTTCTTCGTTGAGAAGAGCCTGCAACCAAAAGCACTTTGTGGATGAAACCTAAGGGAACTTCAGTGTACCAGAGCTGTTCCTTGGAAAGTGTCCCAGTTAAGCAGATGCGCTGTTGTCAGGATTCCAAACAAGTGGATCCTATTGGAAAGGATTTTCACAATATTAAAAATATGCTTCCCTCTGAGAAAATTGTTGGTAACGAAAAGCTTTCGTTATTTCTTACTCTGTTTCTGCTTTGGATCTCTTGGAAATAGATTAAAACTACTAAAAAACAAGATATTTGCAGTTGAGCTGGAGAATGAATTTTCTGTTTATAGGATTTTGGACAGACAGAGAACAACTGAAGAAGCTAAGGCGAGTAGAAGCAGTGTTTGAGCCCCAAAAGGATTCAGAGGAATACAGACCCGCTATGGATGCATGGCTGCAAGCAATGAAACACTCACCACACTGGTAGAAATTGGCGTTTTATTTTTAGAAGAATTAAGATGGTTTAATTCATGTTTTATAGCATCTTGACATTAACAGGACAGTAAAAAACCATTACTGAAGTTTGTGATGGTGTATTATAAGTTGTGTGGTATTTCAGTTCCCGTCCTGCTGCTGGATTACTTACCATGCTGTAATGAACCTTCCCATCATCCTGTGGCAGCTGTGGTCCAGCTGCAGCATTTGTCCCTTCAGTGACCTCCTTTGGGTGGCCCAGCTGCTCAAGTCCTACCATGTACTGCACATGGGCTGTTTTCACTGTGGTGGGTTTTCTACTGAGCAACTCGCCTCCCTTTGGATCTTTAAAATCTTGGGTATGTTAATCATCAAGGAAGGGTAAAAGGCACATTTACTCCCCTAGGCATTGCGAAGAAACAAAATGATTGTTGGGGCTGGGTTGTGAGGAATTCAATTGCATACAAGGACATTGTTTTGATAGTAGCCTGTTACCACCTTTTGGCTGACACTAGGCACTGTGATCACATTATTTGTGCACTAGATCAAGATGAAATGCAACATGAAATACAAAAGCAAAGGCTTTCAACACTCCATTAAAAAAATCCAGGATTTTTATAGCTGATACTTTGTAGCTATCTTGTAGCTCAATTTTTAAAAATTTTGTAAAGATCAAAAGCTGTCTTATCTAGAGTGGCCAGCACAGATGCATTAAAACTAATTCCAGGTATGCTATCTAACTTGTAAAAATCTCTACTGTTAGTATCTTCAAGGCCATTTTTTAATCTTATCATTATTAGCTAAAAGGGAGTAAAAAGTCTATTTTTGAAGCTGTAAATTACTTTCGTATTTTTTAAACAAATAAAATATGATTAAAGAAATGTATACTTAATTATTCTTATATATTTGCTTATTTCTAATATTAAATTTTTGTAATTTTCTCAGGGTTTTGTGTAAATCAGCTTCCAAACTGTAAAATGATTAAACATTTTAATTTCAGAATAATATCAAGTTCAAGCTGTGGGTGATTTGTATTCCACAGACATTGGAGATAAGAAATGTTTATAGATTTAACATCATTGAAAGAGGGCTGAAGAACTATAATTCGTTTTCTTGTGCTGTTACACAGAAGGTCAAATCATACACCATTTCCTCAGTTTCCTTCAATCATGTACCCTCAGCTGGAGCATCTCCTCTAGCTGTGTTCAGACTCCATCTCATTTACTAGTGAGCCCTAGCTTAATGTGCCATTTTTCTTGTTCTTCTGTTACATTCTGCCCTTCAACCTGTGCTACATCTTGGCAATTTTCTTTTCTCTGGGTATTTTTCCAATTCTCCTTAACCTTCTTTAATGTGAATCCTCAAATGAAATGCAGAAGCAAGTGTGGCTGCTGATTTCTAGTAACATGCCAGGCTGTAGTGCCAAGATTCCAATATAAAGCCCCTCGATGAGATTCCTGCCACTCCTCCTGCTGTAAGGTAAGATTCTGCAGTTACAGGATATGTGAAACAATTGCTGTGCTTTAACACCTGTATTCAGCTTGGGATTCTCCTCTGTCATCACAAAGTCACTGCTAAAGAAAATACTCATTAGCAAGAGGGTTCTCTCTCCAAGGCCAAGGAGAAAGGCTTTAAGTCTGGCACTCTGGGCAGAAGTTTGTGCCTCAGTCACTGGTGTTTTACACTTTGTTCTCACTGAGGGAGTTTAGTTTCATCAACATCTGCCTGGGTATAATGTCCACCTATTGCCCTTCTGTTGAAGGCTCCTTGACTTAGGTTGTCTTGCTAGCCTGGAGGTTTTGCTGGGCTGAACAAGGCACTGTTGCTCCCAGACAGAGTTCAACGGGACTTGAACCTGATTTTCTTCAAATCACTCTGCTGAAGGCAACTCTGCATCATGTGCCTGATACTGCACCTTTATGTGGTGGTTTTCACCCTGGCAATGGCACAGCTAGAGAGAGAGAAGACACCCAAGACATTATATAGTCCTCTTGCTCCAGGTAGTGTCCTAGAGGACACACTCTGGATTACTGTCACTGTTTAATTTGAAGCAGAAATTTAAGCTGTTTTCCTTTTACTAGCCTCAAATCTACAAGAGAGAAACTTCACTACAACTCAAGGATGTGAAAAGGCCTTGGTATATTTTCCAGCTGAATCTTTCAAATGGCCTGCTAAGTTGTGAGTTCTGTTGTGGAGAGGTTCAAAGTAGGGAGTAAGGCTCTGAAACAAAGAAGGGCATCTGAAAGTCCCCCAGGATGGAGCAACCTTCGGAGGTCGTGTGAAGTTGCCCAAAGACTGAGCAGACTAACTGACATTTTGAAGATATTTGGTTACTGATCAAAGCCTCTTTTGCTTATATTTTACAAGAAAAATTGATTTTATCTTCCTAGGAAATCTGTAATGTGATGATACCTAAAAGTGGTACCTCCTAATTGATAATGGATGTGAAATAAGCTTTAGATACATTTTTATAGGTGCTGTGCTGTCTCAATTTTTGCTACACAGAAGGGTATTAAAACCATTTTAGAACCTCACTCATACTAACTTCTATTTAAAATATAGCAGCTTGTACTGCTGTCTTTTTTTACTTTTATTTAATTTTTGTCTCAATGTTATTTTCATCAGTTTGGAAAGTATATGCAATTTTACATTTTCTATCAGCTGAGTTTGATAGTAAAGATAACCGTACAAAATTATAAATACTAACTAGTTTGTAGCTTTGTCATTTTAAGAGACTCAGTTGAGATTTAATGTTTTACTTGGGATTAGACACTAATGCAGCTCATCAGCATATGAAGATTGGCAATTCAGTTGTGTTAATGATCTCTGGGCATTCTGCCTTCACAGATCACACAGTGCTGATAGTAGATAACATCATATCAGTTTGACAGTTGTATCATTCATAACATATAGCCCTATCAAATATGGGGACTGTGTGGCATGAAAAATAATGCCTCATAATAATCCCTCTATTGTTGGAGAAATCTTGCTACTATTGGATTAATTGTTGTATATCAAGAGAAAGAACAGATGAAAAAGTCTTCAGATAGTTGAAAATACTGAGTAGCTGTATGAATTTTGTTACATAGCTAAAAAAAAAGATCAAATCAGCTATGTTTAAAATCTTACTGTAAAATCTTACTGTAATGAATTTGCCCAAGCTTTTTGAGTACTGTTTTCTTTTAAGCAGTATTTTCTGTTCTACTCGAACAGCTAATTTTATGTGAAATTAATTCAGTTGCTCTTACTTGTTTTTAACAAGAGCATTTAGACTTGCTTTCTTGTCAGGAGAAAGTATAAAAAGCAAAATACTGAGTTGCTGAAAGCCTGCTACCTTCTACTGGCATAATCTCTGTAGCAAGATCTTTCAACTAGTCCCACTATTTCCAGGATAAGGGCACAGCACAAGAAGCTCATCAGTTGAAGAGAAGTCTTGTGGAAAGAGGTAAAAACCATTTCCTGCTAGTCAGTGTTACTGGTCTGAGGCAAAGAGTACAAAGGTGTGAGCCCCTCTTGAAAGAAAGAGGTGTGACAGTCCTACAGGTGAGTCAGGGAGCACGGCAGTGCTCTGACCCAGAAGTTGGGCAGTGTGTTAGCTTAAGGCTTTATGGGGAGTCGGGGCAAGTTCAGCAGGAGAAAAGGGGGGCTGGTGGTGGAGGTGGAGCCTGATTTGGGTTAATGTTTGTGCAGGTTATCACAGCAAGGGCTGTGGGCTGGCAGGAAAGCAGTAAAACTAGCAAATACTGAAAGGTGATGTACTGTGAAAGGGAAAAGAGGGGGCATCTAGGAGGGATCTGACCGGGCAGGTGGAGCAAGGTGATGTTCCAAGGCTGGGACACCAGACGGGTTGTGGAGGGACACACAAGAGCTTCCTGCAGGGCGGGCATAGCTGCTCAACCCACACCTTAGCATGTCTAAAAAACCCAATTCTAGGGTTTTTTCAATGCAGCCTTCATTCTAGAGTGAAAGTTGGGATTTGTGAAAGTTCTGAAAGATTATGTATTGGTTTAGAATGATACATCAGTAGCATATTTACACTCATGCAAATTGGACATTGTTTCACCACCTTCAAATTCAATTGTGTGTGTGTGTGTATATATATATATATATATATATAGTCTGCAATTTGCTGTTGAAAGCAAATGCAAACTACAGCAGTGACCTTCCTTTTTCTGTTTCTCTCCTTGGGGGTTAAAATGGCTATTTTTCATGCTCATAATCAGTTCCAGTATCTGACTTCAGCTCATCAGTGTTTTTTGCAAAAAAGTAAATAAACCAATGAACCAAAAAGAGATCTGTGAAGCCTAAATGTCTTTATTGAGGCTGGATTCAAGTATTTGTTTAGCTGTGGTAGCTGTGGTAACTAATAATAGTGTAGTAAGCCAGCTAACCTGGTCACTTCTGGTTTGCTTCCTTTATTAAGGTGTGTGCGTTCTGCACTTGTCAGGGCATCGTGGTTGTGGTTGTACCTTTTAGAGGGGACTCCAAGAGAATACACAATACTTTGCATATTTCTACTCCTTTTGTGAATGTATCTTGCATAACACTGCCAATATTGATAAAAGATCTTGGTACATGCCATGGAAGTGTTTTATAAAGGATGAAAAGAAACTAAAACCGAAATCTGCAAATTCCTAGGCACATGCAAGATTTTCAGTTGTAAACTGCCCCATTGAAGTAAATAAAGGTTTTGTTTCCTAGTATATTCCTTACACTGACATTTAGGAACTCGATTTTATAGGCTGAACACCTGTTTTATTGATGTTCCTTCCATTTTTAATGGACAGGATCAAAAATACCTCTTTCTAGAGCATTTAATATTGTCTGTAATGCAAGAAAAACAAAGACGTTTACCATGTTTGATCTAGTATATATATGATCTGCAGAGATGTAAAGCTCATAAATAGTGTTTGTGTCCCCATAAACCTTGTTTTGCTCAGCTTCCTCAATGGCATTAAGCTGAATTTTGTTAGAGAAATGTGCAAAATGGGTAACTGCATGCCTTGGATGTGTGCCTGGCTGCACTCGGGAAAGACTGAACAAATGTTGCATCGTTGCTTTGAATGGAACTAGTGCCGAATTTATTTTTTTTGCTCCCA